CGACCGTGAAGGGTTAGGTTAGAGCGCCCAACATGGTCCCATACAGCCCCAATACGGTCTCACATTTCGGATCAAGGCCACTCGCCTGGCGATCGCTCCTGGATGGGGGTCGTGCGGTCTTTTTCGGCCGCGTCCGCAAGCGAAGGCGCAGGCGGAGTCAGAAGCGGTCCGGGGCGCGGACACAAGCCTAATTAGCTACTGCTCACGAAGCAGTTGCTGTGCCGCGCGGTGAGGCTGACAGGCAGAGGGCCCCCGAAGGTAGTGCGGATAAGCGAAGCGTCAATACTGGCCAACGTACTTTAGACAATGAATTGGTGTGCGCCAACTGCTGGACTTGCACTATCCGCATCACCATGAGATAACATACTGTAAGCCGGTGCGCGTCTCTTGTTGCGCGCGTGCGCGTACGCACTCACGCGGCACCCTATGACGACCGATCCATCAAATACACTAGGCCTTCGGTTAGAAATCGGGAAACATGTGTTCCACTCGCGTTCTGGGCCTCGCCATGAGAGGAGTAAGCATGTGGAGCTCCACATGACAACCAAGTAGAAATATTCAATTTGAGATCGGAAGCGAAGTGGCGACAACCAATTGTTGCACTCGCAGTCAGGGCCTCAGCATGGTTTATCTATATCTGGAAGGTCAGACAATACACGGTCATTATTCCATAAGAAAATGACGAGGGACATCGAAGAAAAAATGGTGAACACCAGTTGCGCCACTCGAACTTTGAACGCAATGCGCAGCCCAGTGTGCATTTCTTATGATGCGCACGTGCGCGCGCAATGCCGGCCATTCGCCATCGAATCGGCGTGCGCGAGGGGCTCACCTCGCAGGTGACCCACGGGCGGGAGGCTCGCCCGAACACCTGCCATGCAAAGGCAGCCATTCCACTTGCATGGCGGGGAGGGGCAGGACGGGGGCCTCCTCCTCCTCCTCCTCCTCCGCATCCTCCTCCTGGACCTCGCGCTGATAATACACATTGCCACGCAGCAGATCCCCGCATTGGCGTGCTCACGTCACAGGTGGCCCCCCACCTGGTAGATAAGCGCACCACACGGGTACGTGCACCGTGGCTAACTGTTTCAGATGTGTTCTCGGCCTCAGCATTCGTCTCCCAGGGCAGGCAGAAGGCAAGGCTTGAGAAAACATGCGTCAAAACTCCTTCACAAGAACGCAACGACGAAACGAACAACTAGACGGAAACACGAAACGAAACAACGATACGCACAAGACAACAGAAACACTGTCCGCGTTAAGATCAGCGGTCCTGACATCGCACTACGACAGGCCAGCAAACCCACCACCAACAACAACACGAAATGAAACAAAAACGCTGCGTCATCATAATCATGCATCACGGAACGCTGGAGCGCAACAACGGCGTGGAACAAACCGTACAGCAAATCGAAGCGCGCATCGAAGGGGCAACCGAGTCGAAACACAAACTGCCACAATGGAGACACAATGCAACAAGACGAACAAAGAAACGCCAGCCACAACAACGCGTTAATCAACAAACGCGGTTCGCTCAAACATTCGATACAATCATGAGAAAAACCAGCACGGATCAACTAGACGATTGCCCAAGCAAAACGGCGTCTAGGCGGGCCCCAGTTGTATTTGACTCCTGGGTCTGCTCAGGCTGATCCCAAGCTTCGGTTTGAAGATTCTCCCCCTCTCTGCTGCACTGGTTGATCGTTCACTTCTATTTCCTATGGGCCAAGGCAACTCTCCCCGGCATCACTCTGGATAGGCTCGCGGGGATCGCGGGATGCTCTGTGTGCTGGCAAGCACCCACCGGCCTCGCTTCAGAGCCCAACCGGGACTGCAGGTCCCAGTCGTAATTGAGCAAGTGGCCCTTTGAGACCCCAGGCAGTCCAGTCGTACGCCCAAGCCGAACCCGTTACGAATCCGAACGCTGGCCATCCTCCACCGCAAGCACCATTTGACTGCCAGGTGGGCTCACGCTTCTCTTCTCAGCGGTCACCCCGCCCCGCTCTGGAGTCTTCGGCTTTGGACGCCCGAAATGGGTACCGAAAGAATGGGTACAATGCCCAACAGCAAATGTTGTCCCAAATCAACAGCGGCCGCTGTTGGGCAGGCGGCCTCCTGTCTTGAACGAACGCAGGCCGCGGCGGCGTGGACAGCGAGCCCTGTTCAAAATGAAGAAGATCCGCTGTTGGGCATTGTACCCATTCTTTCAAGACCCATTTCGTGCGTGCAGATCGGCTTGGGGGCCGCGCTTGAAATGCAGAGCTGCGCCCGGATCGTGGAAGGGGTCGACATGGGCGCAGGAGGAGAGGACGGCGAGGAGAGTGGTGGGGAGATGGCAGGAAGGAGGATTGCCAAGGAGGATCGGCAGCCAGCGATGGCAGAAAACTGAGCAGGAGGGGTACGACGAGGAGGCCCAGGACGCTCCGTCCGTGAGGGGGGGACGAGGGGGGCCTCCGCGGCCGCTCGCAACTGTGTGCCCCTCCCTGGTCCCAGCGCAGCCCGCCGGCTTTCAGAACGCGTAGGCGTCCGAACTCGCCGCTGACAGAAGATGAGGAGGGATGGACGATAATGATGAGGATGCGTGTTCGTCAGCGTGAGGGGGCCAAACGGTCTCACACTGTTCCAAGATGCGTGGCTGAAACGGCTTTCCGCGGTGCGGATTCTTGTTGATTTGTTCTGTTGTGTTTTGTTGTCGTCGTCCTACCCGCGACCTACCCCGCGACTCACCCGCGACCCCGCCCGCGAACCACCCGCGACCCACCCTGCAACCCACTCGCGACCCATCTCGCGACCCACCCGCGACCGACCCGCGACCCACCTTGCGACCCGCCCGCGACCCACTCCGCGACCCACCTACGACCCATCCCGCGACCCACCCCGCGACTCAACCCGCGACCCACCCAGCGACCGACCCCGCGACCCACCCGCGACCCACCCGCGATCCACCCCGCGACCCACCTACGACCCACCCCGCGACCTACCCCGCGACCCACCCGCGACCCACCCCGCGACCAAACCGCGACTCATCCCGCAACCCACCCGCAACCAACCCGCCACCAACGAGCGCCCCACCCGCGCCCCACCCCAGGCAGGAGGAGCAGGAGCAGGAGGAAGAGGGTGGGAAAAAGGAGGAGGATGAGGAGGAGGAGGAGATAGAGGAGGACGACGACTCGAGGAGGAGGAGCGGGAGCAAACGAAACAAGCAAGGGGCCGGGGATCAGGCGACGGCGAGGGCCAGCAAGTCCGCCGCTTCGGCGGCCGCGTCGGCCGCGCCCGCCCCCTCACACTTATCCGCAAGTGCCCGGTGCTAGGTATAGCTGGATGCGGGAGGAGGGTGAAGGGAGGAGAAGGAGGAGGAGGTGGAGGAGGAGGCGGAGGAGGGGGAGAAAATGGAGGACCAGTGTAAAACCAAGAGTCAGCAGCGATGTTGGAATTAACCCTCCCTCCGAGCTCCCTCTTCATGGGCCCCCACAGCGTTTCATCTCCATTGGGGGAACTGCCTCGGTGGAAGACAACCGTGTGAAGATCCTGAAGCATACCAAAACATTGTTCTCGGGCCACATATCAACATGACTGCTGCGTGTTGGCGATCAGGAAGCGTGCCAGAACGCCAGTTCTGGGATTTGAACACCGCGAATCAAGATGACTGTTGCACCCGCATAATCCCAAACCCCTCCAAAACACAAGTTCTGGTACGTTGTTCATAGGAACCCGTGAAACTCTTGCAAAATTGAAAAGGAATGTGCGCGGCGCTGAAGCGAGCGCCACATTTTGAAAAGGAGCCGCCCCCAATACGTGAAACTCTTGTAATGTGTTTAAACAAATGTACGCGGCGCTACAACGAGAACCACATTTTGAAAACGGCCCGCCCTCAAGCCGTGAAGCTCTGGCAACTTGTTTAAACGAATGTGAGCGGCGCTAAAGCGAGAGCCACATATTGAAAACGACCCGCCCTCCAAGCCGTGAAGCTCCTGCCAAGGGTTGAAACGAATGTGCGCGGCGCTAAGGCGAGAACCACATTTTGAAAACGACCCTCCCTTAATACGTGAAATTCTTGCAACGTTTTGAGACGCATGTGCGCGGCGCCAAAGCGAGAACCATATTTTGAAAACGACCCGCCCTCAATCCATGAAACTCTTGGATTTTCGGTAAAGAAAAAGCGAATGTGCGCGGCGCTAAAGCGAGGGCCACATTTAAAAAACGACTCACCTCAATCCGTGAAGCTGTTGTGCGTGTGTGATTTTTATTTAAAAGCACGAATGTGCGCGGCGCTAAGGCGAGAGCCACATTGTGAAAACGACTCGCCCTCACTCCGGAAAACTCTTGCAATCTTTTGAAACGGATGTGCGCGGCGCTAAGGCGATAACCACAATTTGAAAACGATCCGCCCTCAATCCGTGGAACTCGAGCATTTTGTAAAGCGAAGGTGCGCGGCGCTAAGGCGAGAGCTACATTTTGAAAACCAACCGCCCTCCATCTGTGAAGCGGTTGTCTCTTTTTAAGCTTCAAGGGTCATACATGGTGAGGAAGTCTCAGGCGAAACGCCCGACCCGCCCTAAAAGCTGTCCCCGGGGTGCGACAGGGAGGAGTTATCTATAAGGGGAAAGGACGGAGGAGGAGAAGGAAGAGGAGAGGAGGAGGTGGAGGTGGAGAAGGGAGATGGATGCGGGAGGGGTGGGGAAGCGGCGGAGGAAGGAGGGGAGAGGAAGTGGTGGAGGGAGGAGGAGGAGGCGGAGGAGGAATTTGAGGAGCATGAGGGGAAGCAGGAGGACTATGAGGAGGAGGAGGAGGAGAAGGAGGAGGAGGAGGGGGACTAGAAGGAGGAGTATGAGGAGGAGGAGGAGGAGGAGGAGGAAGAAGAGGAGGAAGAGGAGGGAAGGAGGGCGGGCGGGAGGGAGGGAGGGAGACGGAGGAGACAGGGATGGAGGGAAGGAGAGAGGAAGAGAGGGAGAAGGAGGAGGAGGCGGAGTGAGAGGCTGGCGTGTCGTTCCCGAGCTGGCCTATGTTGATGTCGAGGGCGGCGATGGCCTGGCTCACCTCGTCCCAATTCGTTGCGCTGTCCTCCAGGTTGCGCTGCGAGGCGGCCTGCCACTCCTCCGTGGAGATTTTGCCGTCGCCGTCTGCGTCCATGCCTCGGGATTGTCCCTCACCCCCCTCTCCGCCTCCACTCCCCCCCAACGTCTGCTCATTCGCCAGCTCCTCGACCTCATCCTCATCCACCTCGCTCCCCTCCTCCTCCTCCTCCTCCTCCTCCTCCTCCTCCTTCACCTCCTCTTCCTCCTCCTTCTTCTCCTCCGTTCTCCCCTTGCCGCCTTGCCTTCCTCCGCATCCACGTCGTCATCGCTGTCATCGTCGTCCTCCTCCTCCTCCTCCTGCCCCTCCCTCCTCCATTCTCCGCCACCTGTACCTCTCTCCTCCCTTCTCCTGCTGCTCGCCACCGCGCTACGTCCGAGCCACGTCCACGTTGGCTCTGGTGCCTCTCCTAGGAGGGTCATGAGGTCGACGAGGGCAGGAAAGAAGAACACGAGCAGAACAAAAAAGGGTGATGAGGACGCGGGGGGGGCGGGGATGACGAGGAGAACGGAGAGGGCGAGGAGAAACACGAGAAGGGCGAAGGTGATGAGGACAAGGAGGGCGAGGAGGAGGAGGAGGAGGAGGAGGAGCACAAGGAGGGCGAGGTGGAGGAGCAGGAGAAGGATGGCGACGACGACGACGACGAGGGGCGGCAGGAGCGGAGCGGCGACAGCGGCGGACAAGCTAAAAACTTGCGAGGGTAAGAGCTCTGACCAGGAGCGCGGGGTGGAAGGATGACGGCGGGAGGGGATGCTGATGTTGGTGGTGCTGCCGATGCTGATGTTGATGGTGCTGGTGATGTTCATGGTGGGGATGGTGCTTATCGTGGTTCTAAAGCAACTCGTGGAGAAGTCGCGATAACAAGCATCGGCACGTACTTCACAGCAGCTGAATCGAAGGACGCTGCAGCCGGTATGCGGACCAGAGAGCTTCGTGACCGAGCGAACCTGCTTAATCAATTGGTCGCGCCAGGGACGGCTCACATTCGGAACGCACTTCTGACGCCTCTGGAGAACGCCACCTTTCGGAATGATGCCGGGCGGGTCTTTCTTGTGTAGGACCGCGTGCGGTTCAGCTTCAAGCTTCTAGCAAATGTGAGGCACACCAGTCATGGTGACAAGCACGATGCCCACAAAAGCCGTCAACAACGAGTGGCGGCACCAACATTGATGGCTATCGATGCTATGTCTGGCAGTGCAGCGATCATCCGAACCAGACCTCCTGACTCTCACGGCGGGCTTGTTCGATAGCAGGGCAAGAGACACCGAAGCGATCTCTTCTCGGCGCAAGCGATCAGCACGCGCACTCTTTCGCCTCCATATTCAGACGTGGGGGTCTGAAGCACGCGATCCTATTATACGCTAGAAATAGTGTCGAGGCACAGCCACCACAAACTGCAATACTTCATAACGCTGCCAAGACCATAAAACGGAACGGGATAAAGTTGCGGAGCAAATTGGAACATTTGCACGAGATCTGAATCGTTGGAAGAGGAACAGCCGTTCCAGGACCCGTCCGGCGAAGCGAGCGCGATCGGGAACACGACTTCTGAAAAGGGATCCCGCCGCCGAATGTCTTCAGCCTCAGGGCCGATGTTAGTGCAGGGACATTTCGCGCACCGAAGAAACGACTCCACTTCCGGCAGCCCATCCTCGGGCGTTGGCAGAACTAGGTTTAGTAAGACCCGGTTTAGTGATCTGTACCGGGGGCGCCCCCCCGTTCCATTTCCACTAACCGGAACTGTCGTCACCCGAAAAACATCAATTACGGCAAACCTGCTTTAGTGATTCTGGCCAATAGAAGGGCCCCAGGGCCCCACCACTAACCGGGTCACCTTACCCGGGGTCTTGGCTATACCCGACATCCTCATACTCCGAGACGCTGCTTCTGAGAAGCTCAGTGCTGAGGTCCCCACGCGCGGAGACGTGGCATTCCCCATAACTCCGGGAGAACCCGCGGCCCAGCCAACTCGGAACCATCAGAGCCCCTGGCCGAGGCAGCGAGGGAACGCTGTCACGCACGGCGAAGAGGCAATCGCCGGCGCATGCGAGGGCGCGCCGCAAGTGATAGCCACGATTGAGCTGCATCCATAGCAAGACTGGAGCGGGGCTGAGGCCGACCAGGCACATGCTACTGCCTCCCCCTTGTCCAACGCTACGTCGGATCGCAAACTGGCCAAATCCGAATCCACCCATCACGATGATGCCCACATTTTCTTTGTGAAGGAACTGGCAACACCAAAAATACAAACCTCGGAACTCACGCCCCGCTCGGAACCTCCATCGTGAACGGCTTCAGGGAAGACGGGAATGCAGCTCTGAAGTCAGTCAGGAGCATCCCAAATCGGTCGTGGCCCACAAAGCACTGTTGGATGCCCCAGCTCTCTACCGATGCCACATTGCCACGAGTGCACCTCCTAGGGGCGCTCGACAGCGACTGCCCCAGTCGCGCTCCGCGAAATGCGGGAGGAGGGAAGACAGACGGCACACAGCGACAACTTCACGTCGGTGCTGCTGCCGCGGGGAGACGGCGAGTCTCAGCAAACCTCGGATAAACATCGGGCCTGCATCATCTTGCTGCGTGCTTTCCGGCAAGAGCACCAAAGAGAGAATCCGCGCGTCATCGGGCAGGTCAGTGATCTTGCCCTCGCACAGCCCCTGATGCACTGCGGACCGGATCTGGGGAGCACCCCCACCAAGCCAGCGCTGGTAAGGGTGCCCGTCCACCCAAGCATCGAGTGGGTTCTAGTTTTAGTCATGCCGTAAAAACCGCGGGATGCAACCTTCCCAAACTCATGAGAGCATTTGGGGCCTTCTGAATATGCTCAAGAACACCATCCCGAAAGGAGGGGTGTCAGCCTCCGCGTCGCGAAACATCGAAACCCAATCACTTCCCAGCGTCGGCGCCGATGCCATGTTGGCCCAGCACGCCCGACAGCCATGCGGGTCGCCGAAAACACCTCCTGATATCCTCCTTCCTCCGAATCCTACCAAGGGCAACCGTCCGATAATCATCATCATCACCAGGTGTGTTCCCAATCGGGGATTCCTCTGGTTCATGCATCTGCGACTGCCGTGATTGCATACGGGAGCAGAGAGTCCCGGGGTGATCCAACTCAAGTGTAGCCATGTTGAAGTACACGCGCACGTGCCTATCGCATTCCAATGCGCGACTAGATATCTGTCGCCGAGCAAACTTCCAATCATGTAGATCACGCGTAGAGCAGCAACAATTATCCGATAAATTTCCCACCAGCATGCAAGAGATAGCTATCTCCGCTCTCTTGCAGATGTCATGCATGATCTTCGTTGCGCGAGCAATGGCTCTCGATGCGGCCATCAAGGTGGGCCGCCTTGAATAGTGGATAGGGGAGCTGGTGATCGCAACTGCTGGCGCACGATGCCGAGCAACCGAAAGAGGAAACACGAGCTTAGCAACGGCTGGCCATCGCTCGGACGTCCATTCCCTGTGTTTTTTTCGGTTTTGTGCGTGGTTTTTTCGCCAAATGATCAAGGATGCTCCTCGATGATCCTCGCCGAGAGAAAAATGCACACGTCCGAGCGATGCCAAGACGGAGGCCGGGGGCAGATCGCTCGATGGCCGCGAGCGCGGGGAGGCGGTCCAAGCGCTGGTAGTTTTGCAGGCGCGCGACCGCGGAAGCGCGCGCGGTGTGATCTACAAGCAACACGAATGGGACACTGGAGCAAATTCGATCAAGTCGTGATGTCTGAGAAATAAACGTGTCTCGGACTTAGTGGGCCCTGGAAACGACAAGGCCGTTTTTTCACCGGTTCCGTTTTGCCGTTTTGTTGCCGGTTCCGACGCCGTTTTTTTACCGGTTCCGTCGCCGTTGTTTGACCGGTTCCGGCTCCGGTTCCAATCCTGGAGCTGTTTTTTTGCAGTTTCCGGTTGCCGTTTTTTTGCCGCTTCCATTTTGAAGGGACACTGTTTTTGAAACGGTGAAAAAAAGGCCCTGCTGTTTCTGGGGCCAACAAAGGTCTCGGACTTCTCGACGGGGGTATTTCTGTTTTGCGAATTCCACAACAATGGCCACATCCGGCCTGGTACAAATCCGAATGCGATCCACCGCGGAGGCGATAGCCACTTGTACCAGCAGGTAATCGACCTATTTCCTCCAGAACATAACTCAAACCGCCAAGCATGACCTTAAAACTCGAGGCGGCCTCAAGCAGAGCACTCACGATGCGAGAGAAATCGTGGAAATAGGATTGGATGGGGTCGCAAACGTTGGGGAAGTGCGCGTTCGCAATCTTATGGGCGCCGCGCCTGCCATTGCAGGTGGCAAGACATTTGCCCGTCATCAACAGAACATGCGCAATGGACTCAACGTGCGAGGCGAGAAGCGAAGAGATAGCCGCGATAACTCCAACCCAACATGAAGCATCATCATAGGACGAAGCGTCAAAGATCAAACCCGCAAAAGCCATGCAAGTGCGTTTCCTGAACCGTGTGTTTCCAGGGCACAACCCCCTGAGTACTTGCGGCGAAGAGAGCTGCACGCGGCCCATTTGTTCGAAGCCGACGCATACGTAGCACCCGCGCAATCGCAGATGAGAGTGCGGGGGGGGGGGGGGGGCGTCTGCAGTCTGCGATGTTCTGAAGAAGCCCGCCGCAGGCGCTTAGGTTTTTCAATGTATACATCGAGCCCGCCGCAGGCGCCGATTTTTTTTGAAAAAGAGAGTGAGTGGGTCGCGGGTTGGGTCGCGGGTGGGTCTCGGCTGGGTCGCGGCTGGATCGCGGCTGGATCGCGGATGGGGCGCGGGTGGGTCGCGGGGTGGGTCGAGGGTGGGTCGCGGGTGAGTCTTGGCTGGGTCGCGGCTGGATCGCGGGTGGGTCGCGGGTGGGTTGCGGGTGGGTTGCGGGCGGGTCGCGGGGTGGGTCGCGGGTGGGTGGCGGGTGGGTCGCGGGGGGCGGGTCGCGGGTGGGTCGCGGGCGGGTAGCGGAGTGGGTCGCGCGTGGGTCGCGGGGGGGGCGACGCCAAACAACAGCAACAACCAAACAAACAAACAGCCAAACGATTGCAACAACAACTGCAACAACAACGACTACAACACGGATCCGCGTCGCGGAATCCCACTTAAGCCACGCACCCAAGGACAGTGAATGACCGCTCGGCCCCCTCACTCTGACTTCGTAGCCTTCACCGAACCAAATAAACCATGCGCGTCCCAAGGGACAGCAGACAAACCGCCACATCTACATCCCGAGGAAGGTCGTCGCCTCGGTTCCCAGAGGCGCCATCTGCACAATCGCGCGCATCTGGACCACCCGCGGCACGCACCGGCATGTTCGAAGCAGTCCCCGGACAATGTCCTCACAGCACGTCGGACGTAGCGTTGGCCGAGGTCGTCACCGTCGCACCCGCCTGTGGCACAGCATCATCAGTGGCCCGCCAGATGCGGCAATACGAAAAGGTTCGGCTCGAAGGACCGCCCATACATCTCGTTACCACGAAAGTATGTATGTGCATATATATATATATATGTATGTGTATATATATATATATATATGTATATATATATATATATATGAGGGGCCGAACGGTCATTCACCGTCCCTGGGTGCGTGGCTGAGATGGGATTCCACGATGAGGGTGATTGTTATTGCTGCTGTTTGTTTGTTTGGTTGGTCGGTTGGTTGTTTGTGTCTTATAATGTTGTTGTTTGGCGTCGTCCCCCTCGCGACCCGGCCCGCGACCCACCAATGGCCCACCCCGCGACCCGCCCGCGACCCACAAGCGACCCACCAACGACCCACCCGCGACCCGCCCGCAACCCACCCGCGACCCACCCGCGACCCGCTCACGACCCGCCCGCGACCCCCCCGCGACCCGCCCGCGACCCACCCGCGACCCGCCCGCGACCCGCCTGCGCCCTTCCCGCGACCCAGCCGAGTCCAGCCGCGGGACACCCGCGACCCAACCCGCGACCCACTCACATTGCTCTGACGAAAATTCGGCGCTTCTGGCGGGCACGCTGAATACATAGAAAAACTTAAGCGCCTGCGGCGGGCCTCTTCAGAGCATCGCAGACTGCAGACGTCCCCGCCGCCCCCTCATTCTTATCCGCGTTTGATGGGTGCTACGTAGATATATGCGTGTGTGTATATATATATATATGTATAGATAGCCGCATCATCTCCCATATATCACCATTGTCAGCGTCACCGCACACAGTGATCCTCCCCTGGTGACCATTGACTCCGGGCCGGGGCGCTTGTATGTCGGAGTTGGCCGCGTGCAGCATCTCCCTGGGCTTTGCGTAGATACTGCTGCAGGGAAGCTGGCGAACGCGGGCGTCGAGCGGCATGCCACTGCGGTTCCTGATCTGGTGGCGTGTGTTCGTCTGTGGTCGAGCCACTTCATGCCGACGGGGTTGGTGGCGAGCATGTCCTGGAAACGCTTCGCTTCCATGTCGCTTTTAGGCCCTAGGCTGTCGGACATGCGCGTGCGACGGAAGTTTGGGGTTTATCTAGGCGGCCAGGTCTTGAAAAAGAAGTGGAAACACGGTGTTTTCGACATAGTACTGACGCCCTCGTGCAAACAGAGTCCGAAGAAACGTGCCGGTCCAGCGGCGGCTCTTGGTCGCCACTTCAAACTGGAAGCCGTTCAATCTCCGCATCTTGAAGCCGAAGGGATCGTTGATAGAGATGTACAAGCAATGGCCTGGTCCCTTCCCAGCTGCTCGATCATGGGCTCGGGTTTCTGCATCTTGTTGTCAGCTTCGCTGGTCGCTTCGTTCTCCGAAGCGGGCTGAATACCGGGAAAACCAAGGGTGAGCCCCAGAGCTGCGACCCTACTATCGGTCACCGAGGTGACTCATACTGTGTGTCACATCCTCTCGAAGCTGGTGGATGCACGACGCTTACACCGTCATCTTGTTAGCCAGATCGGTGGGTTGTTTCTGAATGATCGCATGGATGGAAGCCAAGGGGCTTTGCTTCGCCATGGGCGACGAGGCGGGAAGGGCGCTGGACGGGACCGCAAAATGCGGTAGCGCCTGTCAGTGTACCTTGGACCTCAGCCTGAGCCAGGGCGCAAGGGATACCTAAATGTAATCAGATTATCTCGCTGCCTCGTACCTTCTCCAGATGCCAACTTGAACCGAGAATGACGGATGGTGGTGATGATGATGACATTGGTGATGTTGTTGGTGATGATGATGGTGTTGAAGCTGCAAACGATGATGACTACATTTATGAGGCTGCTCGTGCTGAACCGAATAACGGCGACGATGACGATTATGATGGTGACGACGACGATGCTGATAATCATGCTGTTTTTGCAACTGATGGCGACGGCAATGATGACGATGAAGATGATGCGAATGATTTGCAACCGGTGCTCCATCGATCGAACCCTCGGCGGGCCGAGATGGGGGGGGAATTCTAGGGCTCGGGCGGTCCAC